GTGGTCAGTTCACAGCAGTGATAATTTCCAACAAGTTTTATGGGCAGTTTTATCAATTTTTTCTAAAAGTGTGCACCATCTTTTGAGTCAAATTCTTGCATTTGGGCTGTTACCAAGCAAATTAAATCAGTATTCAATTCAAGTTTATTTGTATAGCGCTTTTCACAATACAAATCATTACAAAGCAACTTTACAGCAAATTAAGTTTCTACAATATTTAGTGGTAGCTTATCAGTGATGATTGTCAGTTAATGTACATATGGCAAAAATGTACGGAAAAATCAATTAAAGACATAAAATTGATCTTTGCAATGCAGAGGAAACACAGAAGCTGCATTAGAAGTGGCATTTAGATGCATTTACATGGTTTAACGCAGCTCTGAGGGACAGGGAATACTTTAACCTGCAGTTACAAAAGCATAAATAATGTTTTGATATAGTAAACAAAACATTAACTGATGTTCGAAATTTAAAAAATTATTAAAAGGTACCTTAAATGTGAAATTAAAGCCGCCAGTAGGTGGCAGCAAGTCACTATTAAGTGAGTCACTGCGATTGAACCGAATCATTTAAATGGCTGATTCATTTGATTCATTCTGGAACAAAACACCTTCATGATGCTTAGTGACCCAAAACAGCCCTGTGGCTGTGTTTGGAATGATTTTTGATGGAGAAAATATGGAAATATGGCGTTTAAAATGCAAATCTCTTAATATTAACTTGTTTATTGAACTGTTGTATAAAATCAGTATCACATTTGTAACCATGCTGACTTTAAGAAAAAAAAAAAAGGCACTCTTCGTGTGATATTAACTATGTGAAATGATATAAACAAATTCTGCCCCATATCTTGAATTATATAATTCTAAATGCATTTTAATAGACTGATTCATGCAGTGAAAGAATGCAATATAAATGCACACGCGCACTAGTCTAACCTACTGGACTTCATGTAATGTATACGTGCACTCTGTAGGCGTTTTGTTTGCAATATACTCCAGCAAATCGCACATCGTTAAAACAACAAATTAAAAAAATTAAAATAAAAAATAAAAAGACCATAAGACACCCTTATTCGATTTTTATAATGCAATTAAAGCTCGGTGTGTTTGCAAGGAAAAAACATGGGTCGATTTTTGCATTTGTCTGAACAAAACAACAGTTTTACTGAAAATGCTCATTCATTCTCTGACAGCAGGTGGAGCATTTGGTAGAAATATAACCGTTTCCCCGGTAACGCTGTACACAAAGCAGTGCAGCACCGGAATTTGAACGTGCAGCGCTCGTTCATTTCATGAAATCATTGCCTTTTGAAGTTTAATCGTCACATTCAGCCATATCGCAATTCTGGTCTTTCTGTCCCCAAATTGAAGACCTCTTGAAAATCATAATTAAGACTCTCGTACAATTTAAGTACAACTAAAATTTGATACAACAATTTAAGACCTGCGGAAACCCTATTGAATGCAGCAAATAACAACCAGGCATCACCAGCTTACCACTTCTCCGAAGCAGTTCAAAAATTTGGTTTACCGCCAAGGTGTGCACAGTAACAAGAAACGAAAAACACAAATGTAAATATATTTCATTTATTTATTACATAACGGTGAGGGGATACCAAGGAGTGTTATTTGCTGCATTCAAGTACATGACCGCAAAATACAAAGAACATACAAACTGATTTGGGATTTACAATTATGTACACGTATAATTATTTAATTGACAAGCATATAGTGGTGAACTACAGTTCATTTGAGTTATCGCAAAGTTCACGGTTTTATTTTATTTGTATTTTGCAAAGTTAATAACCCAAAGTATTGTGTTGTATGAAAAAAAATCTAATATAAAAATTTGGAAGATTTACCATGCTAATAACAGTGAAAACTTCATTACAATCTATAAAAAAAAGGGTGTGGTCAGTTCACAGCAGTGATAATTTCCAACAAGTTTTATGGGCAGTTTTATCAATTTTTTCTAAAAGTGTGCACCATCTTTTGAGTCAAATTCTTGCATTTGGGCTGTTACCAAGCAAATTAAATCAGTATTCAATTCAAGTTTATTTGTATAGCGCTTTTCACAATACAAATCATTACAAAGCAACTTTACAGCAAATTAAGTTTCTACAATATTTAGTGGTAGCTTATCAGTGATGATTGTCAGTTAATGTACATATGGCAAAAATGTACGGAAAAATCAATTAAAGACATAAAATTGATCTTTGCAATGCAGAGGAAACACAGAAGCTGCATTAGAAGTGGCATTTAGATGCATTTACATGGTTTAACGCAGCTCTGAGGGACAGGGAATACTTTAACCTGCAGTTACAAAAGCATAAATAATGTTTTGATATAGTAAACAAAACATTAACTGATGTTCGAAATTTAAAAAATTATTAAAAGGTACCTTAAATGTGAAATTAAAGCCGCCAGTAGGTGGCAGCAAGTCACTATTAAGTGAGTCACTGCGATTGAACCGAATCATTTAAATGGCTGATTCATTTGATTCATTCTGGAACAAAACACCTTCATGATGCTTAGTGACCCAAAACAGCCCTGTGGCTGTGTTTGGAATGATTTTTGATGGAGAAAATATGGAAATATGGCGTTTAAAATGCAAATCTCTTAATATTAACTTGTTTATTGAACTGTTGTATAAAATCAGTATCACATTTGTAACCATGCTGACTTTAAGAAAAAAAAAAAAGGCACTCTTCGTGTGATATTAACTATGTGAAATGATATAAACAAATTCTGCCCCATATCTTGAATTATATAATTCTAAATGCATTTTAATAGACTGATTCATGCAGTGAAAGAATGCAATATAAATGCACACGCGCACTAGTCTAACCTACTAGACTTCATGTAATGTATACGTGCACTCTGTAGGCGTTTTGTTTGCAATATACTCCAGCAAATCGCACATCGTTAAAACAACAAATTAAAAAAATTAAAATAAAAAATAAAAAGACCATAAGACACCCTTATTCGATTTTTATAATGCAATTAAAGCTCGGTGTGTTTGCAAGGAAAAAACATGGGTCGATTTTTGCATTTGTCTGAACAAAACAACAGTTTTACTGAAAATGCTCATTCATTCTCTGACAGCAGGTGGAGCATTTGGTAGAAATATAACCGTTTCCCCGGTAACGCTGTACACAAAGCAGTGCAGCACCGGAATTTGAACGTGCAGCGCTCGTTCATTTCATGAAATCATTGCCTTTTGAAGTTTAATCGTCACATTCAGCCATATCGCAATTCTGGTCTTTCTGTCCCCAAATTGAAGACCTCTTGAAAATCATAATTAAGACTCTCGTACAATTTAAGTACAACTAAAATTTGATACAACAATTTAAGACCTGCGGAAACCCTATTGAATGCAGCAAATAACAACCAGGCATCACCAGCTTACCACTTCTCCGAAGCAGTTCAAAAATTTGGTTTACCGCCAAGGTGTGCACAGTAACAAGAAACGAAAAACACAAATGTAAATATATTTCATTTATTTATTACATAACGGTGAGGGGATACCAAGGAGTGTTATTTGCTGCATTCAAGTACATGACCGCAAAATACAAAGAACATACAAACTGATTTGGGATTTACAATTATGTACACGTATAATTATTTAATTGACAAGCATATAGTGGTGAACTACAGTTCATTTGAGTTATCGCAAAGTTCACGGTTTTATTTTATTTGTATTTTGCAAAGTTAATAACCCAAAGTATTGTGTTGTATGAAAAAAAATCTAATATAAAAATTTGGAAGATTTACCATGCTAATAACAGTGAAAACTTCATTACAATCTATAAAAAAAAGGTTGTTTTTTTTGCGTTTTATCTTCGTAACATCACAAGATTGCAATCACTAATAAACAGAAGAATTGGTTAATAAACTTTCTGCTAAAGATCTATTCAATTGACAAAGCATGCAACTCATTAAAACAGTCATGTTATATTTATAAAAAAAATATTATAATAAATGACACCTTACATGCATCTGGTCCATTGATAAAGCAGTGTCTCAGGTCACATGTGAATTATGGATCGCCTTTTCACAGGCGTCCAATCATAGCTAACTTCTGGAAAAGGGGAAATAACCAATGGCGTTTGAGATTACAACTTAAACATCAAGTCCCGCCCCACGACTGACAAAAATAGTGTTCGCGAGAGCAAAACACAATCAGGTGAAAAAATATGGAGCGCGAGAATGAGGGCAATGATCACGCACGCATGATGCGAGGGCTCGTATTGCGCACACGGTTGATGTGATGCGTGCGATTGTTTAAAAAGAGCTCACAGGCTCCCGTTTCCTCACGCGGAAGCAATTTACCGTGCGCGTAAACATAACTGGTGCACGCTGGGTTTTTTATTGATTTGCCAGCATACCTTACACCATGTCCTAACCAGACGTGAAAAGCAATTTGGCCGTCCACACCAGACGAGACGCGACAATCACTCAAATATCACAGCCATTCAGAAGTGAGAAACGCACTGCAATCGCAGCGAAATGGACAAGTTTATAATCCAATTCATAAATATTAAACCTTTTTAACATTATTAAAACTACATACCGAGTGACTGACTGGTACCATCTTTGTCATGGAAAACACTTGTTGGTTCACAGAGTTCAGTTTTAACGTACGTTTGCTTTAATTTATAAAAGATCTGAGGTAAACTATCTGTTGCTGCTTTCAGTATGGCTATAAATGCAATATGACACTTTTAACATGGAATAAAGCACAGTCAGTACCCGAGATTATCATGGTCATAGATTGTATGTTGTTCCTCCAGCCACTATGTTACAGAAATAGAAAGTTTACATGTCTCCATCATGGCTGGTTAGGACAAAAACTCCAATTAACATGGAAAGCATACTTTTTATTGTGTGTCATGGCGTCACATGAAGTTAGGACACGGTGTTAAACTAAAAGTCTTGCATTTCTCAGGATTGTGTAGGCATGAGCAATTTATGACGCAACCAATACTACTAACTTACACATTCAAGCTTTTGTGGAGATCTTTGGGATGGCATGAATGGAGCCCCACGGCCACGACCACCTCGTCCTCCTCTCCCACCACGAGAGGGCCGAGCCAGGCTACCGAAGTTGATCTCTAGTTGACAAGTGATGTCATTGGTCGGGCGGCGGAAAACCACATCGTCTTCATCCAAGCCATTAGGATTTTTCTAAAACAAGAACAACTGTTATAAGAGTGAATCCATATCCAACAGACTCTAAGTGCTAAGAAAAAGACTCCTCACCTGAAGGAATTTGGACTTATGGATAACTACAGCCTTAGACAGCACAGAAGTGTCTGCCTTACGGATATTCAGCTCTACTTTGGGCCTGCTTTGCTCCTGTTGGGCTTTCCACTCATCCAGTGTCATCTCTAGGGCAAGCTCAATCACTTCTTCAGTCTCAGATGGTCTGAAAGAGTATTAAGTGGCGCAATCGTACATTCACATCCATTATGAATTATAAAAGGAAGCTCAAGTTCATAAAGTCAGCAAATAATCAAATTCACTGTCAAGCACCATCTGTGTTACAAGATATTTCCTGCAGCTGTGAGAAACAGACCTGTTTTCTCCATCAGTCTCAACTGCCTCTTGGGTCTCCTCACTTTCAACGACCTCTTCACTAGGCGACCCCTCTTCAATTTCACTACAGGATAGAAAAATGACAACCATTTTAAATGGGGGGGTGGAGCAAAGTGAGAATTTTCAATCTGACATATGTGAAACACCTCATATGGTCTCTCATCGAGCCCCAATTGCGAGATCCACTGCCGCTGCGCTTCTCTTCAGATCGGACACTCCTGATTTAAAAGCAATGTCTCATTTATCAGCTGATTGTGCGCACAAAATGTTCCAAGCACAAATATGACAAGCGGTGGTTTCAACCAGTAATTTACAACCCAAAAATGGGTGACAGATCAGTTCTGAAAGGGGGGGGATGAAAGAAGGCAGACAATGAACTACATACCGAGTGACTGACTGGTACCATCTTTGTCATGGAAAACACTTGTTGGTTCACAGAGTTCAGTTTTAACGTACGTTTGCTTTAATTTATAAAAGATCTGAGGTAAACTATCTGTTGCTGCTTTCAGTATGGCTATAAATGCAATATGACACTTTTAACATGGAATAAAGCACAGTCAGTACCCGAGATTATCATGGTCATAGATTGTATGTTGTTCCTCCAGCCACTATGTTACAGAAATAGAAAGTTTACATGTCTCCATCATGGCTGGTTAGGACAAAAACTCCAATTAACATGGAAAGCATACTTTTTATTGTGTGTCATGGCGTCACATGAAGTTAGGACACGGTGTTAAACTAAAAGTCTTGCATTTCTCAGGATTGTGTAGGCATGAGCAATTTATGACGCAACCAATACTACTAACTTACACATTCAAGCTTTTGTGGAGATCTTTGGGATGGCATGAATGGAGCCCCACGGCCACGACCACCTCGTCCTCCTCTCCCACCACGAGAGGGCCGAGCCAGGCTACCGAAGTTGATCTCTAGTTGACAAGTGATGTCATTGGTCGGGCGGCGGAAAACCACATCGTCTTCATCCAAGCCATTAGGATTTTTCTAAAACAAGAACAACTGTTATAAGAGTGAATCCATATCCAACAGACTCTAAGTGCTAAGAAAAAGACTCCTCACCTGAAGGAATTTGGACTTATGGATAACTACAGCCTTAGACAGCACAGAAGTGTCTGCCTTACGGATATTCAGCTCTACTTTGGGCCTGCTTTGCTCCTGTTGGGCTTTCCACTCATCCAGTGTCATCTCTAGGGCAAGCTCAATCACTTCTTCAGTCTCAGATGGTCTGAAAGAGTATTAAGTGGCGCAATCGTACATTCACATCCATTATGAATTATAAAAGGAAGCTCAAGTTCATAAAGTCAGCAAATAATCAAATTCACTGTCAAGCACCATCTGTGTTACAAGATATTTCCTGCAGCTGTGAGAAACAGACCTGTTTTCTCCATCAGTCTCAACTGCCTCTTGGGTCTCCTCACTTTCAACGACCTCTTCACTAGGCGACCCCTCTTCAATTTCACTACAGGATAGAAAAATGACAACCATTTTAAATGGGGGGGTGGAGCAAAGTGAGAATTTTCAATCTGACATATGTGAAACACCTCATATGGTCTCTCATCGAGCCCCAATTGCGAGATCCACTGCCGCTGCGCTTCTCTTCAGATCGGACACTCCTGATTTAAAAGCAATGTCTCATTTATCAGCTGATTGTGCGCACAAAATGTTCCAAGCACAAATATGACAAGCGGTGGTTTCAACCAGTAATTTACAACCCAAAAATGGGTGACAGATCAGTTCTGAAAGGGGGGGGATGAAAGAAGGCAGACAATGCAAAAACAACTACAATTAAGCACATAATCGTTAATGTCATCCATCACTTAAAATATCCTAAAGTATTATTTCTAAAAATAACACATTACTAAATTACATTTATACAGCATTGTATTGTAAATATTAGAATGCAATTTAATATATTGTACACTTTTGGCCACTCTCATTTATTCATTGCATTTAATCTTTTCAAATTAATATTAAAATAAAAAGTTTTAATATTTCAGAGCTGCATTTACATCTGCATATTTGTTTAATTACATTTGTACATAATTTATAAATTATACCCAGCATAATGTTTGGGCTAGGGCTGTGCAATATATCAAAATATCGCAAATGTACATAACGCAATATGCATATCGCTACAGTTTGCAATATTTGGGGCCATGAACAAAAGACAGAAAATCACTCACTGCTCTTACCTAAATAACTTTTGTATCTTAAATAAGAACCAGAGCATATTGAATTCAAAGAGTAAATACTAAGCACGGTTTTATTTTTTTATTATTCCAGTGTTTCCCCTGCCATTATTTTAGTGGGGCGGCCTATAACATGTCTATACCTTGTTCTTTCATTAAGCAAACTAATAGCCTTATGTTATTGATCTTATTTACACGACGGCATGTCATTTCAGTCTCTAGTTATGGTCGTGCTCTCTGTATCACGCACAGCGGAGTTCCGCCCTGATGCGCGCGCTCACGCACACACACACACACACATAAGCCCACTCCCACTAGTATTTGTAAATATTAAGCCGCAAAACGATTCATATTTAAATATGAATTCTGCGTGTCTCTGTGTTAATGAATGGCGCAGACGCGCGGTTTTGTGTAGTACTCGTACTGAAACGCTCGTGACGCTTCCGGTGATATTAACGTCTGCCGTCTCACTAAATGATGACATAAATACAAGAACAAAATCTCCAGAACTGCTCTGAGAGTCACTTCATCAGCATTTGACCGTTTCATTTCAGTAAAACTATCCTCATATCATATACACACAGAAATGTAATGGTATTCACGGCAACCTGTCATAAAAGTTCGGTTTAACTTGAGGGCATTGGCAGAAATATATTACTGTTGTTGAGTAGAATGTACGTAACACACTGCTACTACTACTACTAAAATGATTAAAACCTAATTTAAGGAATAAGCATTCAATATTTCTTCAATGTTTTAATTGTAACATTAAATTACCTTTATTTTCCAAAATTTAATTTGTTTAATTTTCATTATTTAAAAGATAGATTAAATGAATGTTTTATGCCTTAAAACAAAATGTAAATACACAACAAAGAATTTCTGAGCAAAAAAAATCATAAGGCTATTGGAAGAATAAATGAAACTTGTTTTATGCTTTCAAATTAGACATGCTAAAACAGAATTTGGTTACAATAAAACATTTCATAGGGCCCTAAACGTAATATTTGTTAAACTTAATACATTTGTTAAATTGTTTAAGTTTCATGATTTTAATTAATTAGATATGCTTTGATGAATAAAATGTAATTTAACCATTAAAAAGGCCCCCCCCCAAAAAAAGCCGTAAACCTAGGGGAAACACTGTATTCAGTTCCTAAACTCATGGTAAAATGATTACACTAATGTTAAAATTACATTTATGTAATGCTCGTGTAAAACACTACCGTTCACTTTCAGAAATTGTAGGGGTGCTTTCTTATTAGAATCAGAATGAGCTTTATTCACCACTTAAAGGGGTCATATGATGCGATTTCAAGTTTTCCTTTCTCTTTGGAGTGTTACAAGCTGATTGTGCATAGATAAGATCCCTGAAGTCGCAAAGACTAAAGTCTCAAAACCAAAGAGATATTCTTTATCAAAGTTAAGACTCTGCCACGCCCCCCTAAAACGGCTCGTTCTAACACGCCCCTAATAAAAAATAAAGACATTAACACGTAATTAGAGACATTTACCTCTCAACAGAGAAGCTGAGGGGGGCGACGGCATCGGTGAATTTGCGCTCAAAAGTCACGCGTCTCTCTAGTCGCTCCTCAACTTCTCCACGAGCAAGACGGACTTGGCCTAGAAATTCGGACCAAATACAAGCCACGAACAAATGTAAACACTTTAAATGCCTCAGCAACCACATTTAAACTCAGTATATCTTCTAGGGATTAATTAAATTAGTGGATAATTAAAAGGCACGTTGCGTCGAATAAAATGAGGCCGTCCTTCACATACCTTGTCCAGAATAAAAAATAAAGACATTAACACGTAATTAGAGACATTTACCTCTCAACAGAGAAGCTGAGGGGGGCGACGGCATCGGTGAATTTGCGCTCAAAAGTCACGCGTCTCTCTAGTTGCTCCTCAACTTCTCCACGAGCAAGACGGACTTGGCCTAGAAATTCGGACCAAATACAAGCCACGAACAAATGTAAACACTTTAAATGCCTCAGCAACCACATTTAAACTCAGTATATCTTCTAGGGATTAATTAAATTAGTGGATAATTAAAAGGCACGTTACGTTGCGTCGAATAAAATGAGGCCGTCCTTCACATACCTTGTCCACCCCCACCTGCCGTAAGAACCGTTTTCCTGTCTCTTTGAGACTCTTTCTTTCCAGAATTAACGTTAGTTGTGGTTGAAGTTTTCTTCGGATCATCTTTCTTCTTCTTCGGTTTCTTGTCCACCCCTGCCGCGTATAAGATGTCGAACGGGTCGGATTCATCGTCCAGCAGCCGGCCGAAACGATTCGCAACGGCGCATCCATATCCCTCATCAGGCATCTCCTCTCCTAACTCCATCTTTATCGACTATTGCAGGGGAAATGAAATAATCGAGCTGCTATCATCGAAGGACTACAAACTGAGCAGAACGAAGTTCTGTTTATCTCCCAAAGAGGAAAAATAGAGGCGCTAAACAGTGCCTGAAGATTGAAGTCTAGTCTGAGCACCAAGTAACGTAGCCATCAGATGTGACGTTCAGGTGATTGAATTCAGGTTCATATATAAGCAATTAGTCTCCGCCCCGGAAGTCAACCTACTTTTAGAACGCACTCATTAATATTAATTACGCACTCGAAAGTTCTGTTGGATTATTTTCGGCCTATTTTATTGTCGATTTTTGTGACTGGAAATGTGAACAAGGCTAAAACTATGAATCTATTATCATTCTGTTATAAAGCGGGTACAATTTCTGTTTATACATTTTCCACATCACTATACATTTCGTAATATATCTGTCCCATATGCAAAACTATAATAACTCAAAAGTTATGTGAAATGAAGTTCAAGCCAACTTTAGAGATAATTTCCAGGTAGAAATTAAATGTAAATAAGAAATATTCACATAGTTGAATTTACTTAAGAGTAATCACGCTTGTGAAGCACGCACAGGATTGTGGGACACCATAGGCACCAAAAAAAATACAATTCAAACATGACTATGAATAATTCCATCCTGATTCTTTAATAATATATTTAATGCAAAAAAAAAAAAAAAAAGACCGAGGTGGTTCATGTTTTATTGCCATCACACTCAAGCATTGATTCCAGTCCTGGTTTGAAAATATAATTGTTTACACAATTAAAAATACAGAAGCATACAAACAAATTTCATTCAGCTTGCCAAATAAGACTACAGATCATCAGTTAGGAACATAATACTATGCATTACATAAAACTATTTCAAACAGCCCTGGAAAAAAAGATGCAGTGTTTAATTCAGTGTAACCTTTGGCCTTGCAAATATGTAAGAATTTACATGGAGTATTTACATTTATGTTGTTTAAGATTTCTATGATCCACAAACTTCTTCCCACAGCACTCACAACTGAATGACTTCAGACCGGTGTGCACTCGCTGATGGGTCCTCAGATGCACAGCCTGATTAAACGTCTTACCACAAACATCACAACCAAAAGGTCTCTCCCCCGTATGGATTCTCATGTGCATCTGAATACTGCTCGAATATCCAAACCGCTTTCCACAAACCTCACAACTATACGGCTTTTCTTTGGTGTGAACCCTTTGGTGTACCGTAAGGGCGGCTTGTGAATAGAACTTCTTTTGACAATGATCGCAACTGAACTTCTTCAACAAAGGACTGACCAATCGCTCGTGATGCTTCTCTCCTGTATGTACAAGCATGTGCTGATTAAGAGAACTGGGGAATATGAAGGCCTTATTACAGATCGAGCACACACAATCCCTCCTTCCTGCGTGAATGATTCGCTTGTGCCTTTTCATGTAGTCTGAACTGGTAAATCCCTTACCGCAAACGTCGCAAAGAAATGGTTTGCTTGAAGTATGTTTGTGCATGTGCATCTTCAAGGCGTACGCTGTGGTGTACCTTTTCAAACATATCGGACAACCGTACAGCTTCACACCCGTGTGACCGGCTTTGTGTCTGTTGAGGTTTCCAGAGGTGGCAAACTTCTTATCGCATACGTCACAAGCGTATCGCTTTTCCCTCGTGTGCACGAGCATATGCGCTTGCAAATGTTTGCGAGCGCTGAACCGCTTGTCGCAGAGCTCGCACAGATACTCGTAGGTTTTCTCGATGTGGCTCTTCTGGTGATTTTTCAGATATCGCTCGCAGCTATAAAAAGCGCCACAAATTTCGCAACAGTAGGGCTTCTCGCCGGTGTGCAGTGTTTGGTGATCGAGCATGTTTTGCTTAATTTTGAACTGCTTGTCACATACTGGACAGTTGTAGAGCGTTTCGACTGCTTTGCATCGGTGTCTGCCGAACGAACGCTTGCCGGGAAAAACCTTCTGACAGTTTGAGCAGGTAACCGTCTTTTCTGCCGTATGAAGGTGCTTGTGCTTTTCCAGGGAGGCCTGAAATACAAAAGACTTGGAACATACATCACATTTGAATAGCTTAGCTCCAGTGTGCATCGCTGCGTGTCTGATGAGGCAGCTTCTCATAGTAAAGCGCTTATCGCAATGCGAACATTTGTAATGTTTCACATGAGCCCGAACGTGGTTAATGAACTTCCACCTAAGTTCAAAACACTTCCCGCAAGTTTTACATCGGAACAAGCCATCATTTGATTGCTTGATCATATCCATGTTAGGTGTGGTGTTGGGCTGGTTGTCTGTGTTTTCGATGGTAATATTTAAACCTTGCACAAGCGATTCGGTCACATACTGACTGCTTCCCAAGACAGCACAAGATACGTCTTCATTGTCCAAGTTATTTTGGAGAATTTCTGTGAAAAGAAGAACACAAGAGTATGTTTAAGAGAAACAACCTGAAAAATTTTATTTAAATATTTATACTTTTTTTTAAATATAAAATATTGGTATTTTAAGGTGCATCCAGTAATTTTTTACTAACTCAGTTTACATAAATGAATAAAAAAAAGATGAATTAATGTCTTTAAAGAAATAATAAAATCATGTACACTCACGTGACATGGATCTATGAGAGTTTTACATTCACTACCGTTTACAGTTTCAGTATGTTTTTTAGTTTTTAATTTATACTTTTATTCAACAAGCACACAATAAATTTGACCAGATAAAGTGGCAATGAATACATTCATATTGTTACAATAAATTCTATTTCAAATAAATGCTGTTCTTTTGAACACCAAAAAATCCTGAAAAAATGTATCCACAAACTACTTTTGTGATTTCCACAAAAGTATTAAGCAGCACAACCGTTTTAACATAATAATACAAATAAAAACATTCTTAAACACCAAATCAGCACAAAAATTAAACCATATGCTGCATTTACAATACACAGTCCAAGATGACTCCCATACTGTGCAGAGAAACATATATTTCTAAACAGAACTTTAAAGGGATAGTTCACCCAAAATTTTTAATTACCCCATAATTTACTCACCCTCAAGCCATCCTAGGTGTATATGAATTTCTTCTTTCAGACGAATACAATCGGACTTATATTTAAAAATGTCTTGGCTCTTCCAAGCTTTATAATGGCAGTGAATGGGTGATATTATTCAATAGTCAAATAGAAGTCCCTGGACCACAGTCAAGATATGTGACCCTGGGCCACAAAACCAGTTATAAGGGTAAATTTTTTGAAATTGAGATTTATACTAGAGATCAAGGATCAATCGGCCAAGGATCGGAATCGGACGATTTTCCTCATGATCGGCCCGGATCGGTGACCGGCCGGTCAGTCTCACTTCTTTCCGATTCCGAGCCGATCCCTTTTGTTACCAGCAATAACGTCAGCTGCGCATTCAAAATGAGTGGCTAACTGCGCTAAAACGTTCAAAAACATACAAAATTATGTCAAAATGCCCGTCTTGGCGAGTATCCAGTTAAACACAGTCAGTTTGGGAACGTTAAATAGTTGAGAAAGAGAACGCATCCGCGTGGATAAACTCTTAAAGGGACCGCAGCCCAATATTCCTGCTGCTGTCTGTCATGTTAATCAAAGAACAAAAGACAAAGAAAATCACTTTCTGCTCTTGACTGTATACGTTTTATAACTTTAACGGTAAGCATTAATCTATATTTAATTTTTACAATGAAGTAAAAATTTGTATGAAGTAAAAAATAATACATCCAATAACACTGAATGTGTTATTTTACATTTGATTACTTTAATTTCAGTAGTATTTCTTATCTGAATAAAAACTTACTTAACCTGAAAAACTTAGTTTCATAGCTCTCTTTATTCTATTGCATTTATTTGTGCTGTTTATTGCAATGTTTTTATTTGTTCTTATTTTATTACTGACTTTTTACTTGTGTTTTTTTTTTATGAAAATAAAACTGTTGAAGAAAAGTAGATTTATGTTTGTATATGCTGTCAATTATAGATTGCAATGTTTTTATTTGTTCTTATTTTATTACTGACTTTTTACTTGTGTTTTTTTTTTATGAAAATAAAACTGTTGAAGAAAAGTAGATTTATGTTTGTATATGCTGTCAATTATAGTTCTTAGAAAGAAAATCGGAATCGGCAGATCACAATAACAAAAAATCAGAATCGGCCAAGAAAATTGCAATCGGTGCATCTCTATTTATACATCAGCTGAATAAATAAGCTTTCCATTGATATACTGTTTGTTAGGATAGGGCATTATTTGGCCGAGATACAACTATTTGAAAATCTGGAATCTGAGGGTGAAAAAAAATTAAATACTGAGAAAATCGCCTTTAAAGCTGTCCAAATGAAGTTCTTAGCAATGCATATAACTAATAAAAAATTGAGCTTTGATATATTTACGGTTGGAAATTCACAAAATATCTTCATGGAACATGATCTTTACTTAATATCCTAATGATTTTTGGCATAAACGAAAAATCGATCATTTTTACCCATACAATGTTTTTTTTGGCTATTGATAAAAATATACCCAAGAGACTTAAAGGAACACTTCATTATTTTTGAAAATAGGCTCATTTTCCAACTCCCCTAGAGTTAAACAGTTGAGTTTTACCGTTTTCGAATCGATTCAGCCGATCTCCAGGTCTGGTGGTAGCACTTTTAGCTGTAGCTTAGCATAGATCATTGAATCGGATGAGACCGTTAGCATCTCGCTCAAAAATGACCAAAGAGTTTCTATATTTTTCCTATTTAAAATTTGACTCTTCTGTAGTTACATCGTGTACTAAAACCAACAGAAAATGAAAAGTTGTGATTTTCTAGGCCGATATGGCTAGGAACTATACTTTCATTCCAGCGTAATAATCAAGGAACTTTGCTACCGTACCATGGGTGCAGCAGGCGCAATGATATTACGCAGCGCCTGAAAATAGGCTTATTGGAAGTTACCTAGCTGGGGACTATTTTCAGGCACTGCGTAATATCATTATGTAATGCATAATATCAGATTCAATGATCTATGCTAAGCTACAGCTAAAAAAGCTACCGGACCCGGAGATCGGCTGAATGGATTCGAAAACGGTAAAACTAAACTATTTAACTCTAGGGGAGTTGGAAAATGAGCCTATTTTCAAAAATAGTGGAGTGTTCCTTTAAGACTGGTTTTGTGGTCC